TCTCAACAATAGCCAAAACATGGAAAGAGCCTAAGTGTCCATCCACGGACGAATGGATCAAGAAGATGTGGTTTATCTATACCATGGAATACTACGTGGCAATGAGAAAGAATGAAATCTGGCCATGTGTAGCAACATGGATGGACCTTGAGGGTGTTATGCTGAGTGAAGTAAGTCAGGCAGAGAAGGACAGATACCATATGTCTGCACGTAAAGGAGGATTAGAAGGAACTTAATGGAGGACCATGGGGGAGAAGAAGGGGGTAAATGGTGGGGGAAAGGGAGAGAGGCAAACCATGAGAGACTCTTGAATGCTGAGTACAAACTGAGGGCTGATGGGGGATGGGGAAGAGAGGAAGGGGGGTGATGGACATGGAGGAGGGCACTTGTGGGGATGAGCACTGGGTGTTACATGGAAACCAACTTGAGAATAAACTGTTAAAAAAAAAAAAGAATGAAGAACCTGAATTTAATCACAATAAAATTCAGATAAAACTGAAATAAGAAATATTCTATTAATAAAAAAAACAGTGGAGCAGAGGGACTGTATTCTATTAAAATGCCTGTATTCAAAAATCAAAGAAAAGCTGTGGAAATGTTTTAGAATAAAAGAGGCTAAAGAGACATGGCAACTGAATACATCATGACCCTAGTCTCTCTGTGCAGAGGGGGAATGTGCAGAGGGGACATTATTGGGTCAACTTACAAAACCAGAATACAAATACATGGTAGGTTATAAAAATATGTTAACATTAAATTTCCTAAAGTTTACAACCATACAGTGGTTATGCAATAAAATATACCTGTTCTTATGAAATACAAACTGAAGTATTTTGGGGTAAATTGTAATGATGTATGTAACTCGCCCTCAAGTGATTCAGAATAAAATAACACATGCATAACCAACAGCAAAATACTAACAGTAGATGAATCTAGGTAAAGGGTATACTAATGTTCTTTGTGCTATTTTCACTTATGTATCACTTGCACATTTTCAATTCTTTCCAAAGTTTTAAAAATCCACATCAGTGACTAAGATTATTATGTATCTAAAATCCTGACAGAGTGTCTATTTTCTATGCATACCCTACACAGTAACTACAACATGGACCAATTCTGTGGCAACAATATGGTAAGTACTCAATAAATGTCAGCAATTACTATGTACTAGGTCCTATGCTAAATGCCTGAATGCACTTTTTTGTCAACAGGCATCTTGTAATCAAAGAACACCTTCTATCCTAATGGTATTATCCATTACCAACAATCTTCACTACAAAATATAAAAAATTTAAGTACAGAATTTACTCTGACAAGTTCATAATTTCTATTCAATTTTTTCCACTATGAGGAATGCCAGGTATAACTTTCATTTTAATTCATTACTAATAAAATATTTTCCTGGACAATATGAGGCAAAACTACAAAGTAATTCTTTTCTAAATTTATCTGAATGCAACTGATTGTTAATATGATAGCAAAGAATATAAATAAATAACTTACACTTTGTTAATTTCTTTGGACTCTGTGAAGGCACTGGCTGGTTATCAGTATTTGAAAGAGGAACTTCTAATCCCCCTTGGGAGGCCCAGCCTGTGGGGAAAAGAAGTAAGGAATTATCCACTGTTAGTCAAATAGGAAGCAGCATCAGAAAACATAAGAAAAGGTAAAAATATCTAATGAGTACTTTAATCTTTCTACTAGGGTATGATTCTACAATAGAAGAGGTAGAAAACACTTAAAATGTATCTGAAATTATGGATTTTATCATCAAGTTTAGTTTCAGGCAGAATTAGATCAGACTTCCTAACAATTTTCAAAGTGGTTTGGAAATAAATATACAAGTGTTCTTTTTAAACAAATGCAGATAGATAAGGTATAGAAAGAGAATTTCTAAGGAGTTGGGAGAGAGGAAATAAATCTGACAATTAGAATCTTGAAACCTTTAACTATGTTTATACCCTGGACTCAGTAATCTTATTCCCAGAAATTTATTTAAAGGAAATTATTTAACTGAAGGAAAAAAGTGCATGTATGATTAAGTTTATTGCAGCATTATCTATATAATGAAAAAGTCAAGGAAGGAAGATTATGGAAGATAAATGTGACAAATTACTATGCAGTTATTAAAAAGTATCATTATGAAAACACTCAACACCCAAAAAGCAAATAATCCAGTGAAGAAATGGGCAGAAGACATGAACACTTTTCCAAAAAAGATATCCAGATGGCTAAAAGACATATGAAATGCTCAACGCCAGTCATAATCCGAAAAATACAAATCAAAACCACTTCACACCTGTCAGAATGGCTAAAATTCACAACTCAGGAAACAGATATTGGTAAGGATGTGGAGAAAGGGGAGCCCTTTTGCACTAGTGGTGGGAATGAAAACTGGTACAGCTGCTCTGGAAAACAATATGGAGGTTTCTCAAAAAATTAAAAATAGAGCAGCGCCTGGGTGGCTTGGTTGGTTATGCTCCAACTTCAGCTCAGGTCATGATCTCACGGCTCATGGGTTTGAGCCCAACGTCAGTCTCTGTGCTGACAGCTCAGAACCTGGAGCCTACTTTGGATTCTGTGACTGTCTCCTTCTGCCCCTCCCTGTTCACGCTCTGTCTCTCTCTCTCTCTCTCAAAAATAAACAAACATTAAAAAAATTAAAAATAGAAGTACCCTATGGCCCAGCAATTGCACTAGGTATCTATCCAAAGGATACAAAGATGCTGATTTGAAGGGGAACATGTACCCCAATGTTTATAGCAGCACTATCAACAATAGCCAAATTATGGAAAGGGCCCAAATGTCCATTGACTAATGAATGGCTAAAGAAGATGTGATATATTATATACACATACACACAATAGAATACTTCTCGCAATCAAAAGGAATGAAATCTTGCCGTTTGCAACAATGTGGATGGAACTAGAGTGTATTATGCTAAGTGAAATAACTCAGAGAAAGACAAGTATCATACAATTTCACTCATGTAGAATTTAAGAAACAAAACAGATAAACACAGAGGAAGGTAAAATAAGATAAAAACTGAGAGGGAGATAAACCATAAGAGACTCTTCAATACAGAGAACTGGGTGTTGCTAAAGGGGAGAGGGGTGAGAGGATGAGCTAAATGGGCGATGGCTAACTAAGGAGGGCACTTGCTGGCATGAGCACGGAGTGTTATGTGGGTGATGAATCACTGGGTTCTTCTCCTAAAACCAATACTAAACCATATGTTAGCTAAATGGAATTTAAATAAAATTTTTAAAAAGTACATTATGAGGGGCACCTGGCTGGCTCATTTGGTAGAGGAAGCGACTCTTGATCTTGGGGTTGTGAGTTTGAGCCCCATGATGGATGCAGAAATTACTTAAAAATACAATCTTAAAAGTAAAACGTATCACTATGAATACTCTGTTAGTAAGATGGTGTAGTATTTGCTGTAACGTGAAAAATTAGTTTATAATTAAAACACAGCACTAGAAAGGAATTTAAACTATCCTGTCTACTACCTTCCTTGTACTGAAGAGATCATTTGAAGCCCATGTTCTTACTCAGGGTTCCTAGAACACAGATCTTCTAACTCAGGGCAGCTCACTTTCCTGGTTTACATTACAGGAGAGAAAGAAGTAGACATAAAGAAAAGGTGAGTGAAGTAGAGAGAGTCCTGTAGTAAGAGGCAGAAGACCACATTTTGGTTCCCTCTTAATCGTTTAAACTGCCTAGTTATCTCGAACAAGATGCTCATTAAACACTGAATATCAACTGCCTCAGCCATTGCATGGGAACATCTGTCAGCCTGCAGGCAGGGACCAGAACAGATGTTCTAAGTGGTAAAGAAATATTGTTGATAATGTATTGCCAGAAAATAAGAAAAGAATCCAGTGCTGCTAGAGATGTGGCCAGTTAAGGAGAAAGAGCAATAGGTGTTTATGTGAAGAATGAATCTGTCTGTAAATCTTTATTAGGTCACTGATATGTGTGCAAGAGTAATTGTTTTCTAAAATTTTTTAGCAAAACATCTGAATTATCCTAGATATAGTGCCTCTTTATCAAATAATACTGTCCTTTTTTACTTCTAGGTTAAATTCTTACTGAGTGATTATTTAACTGATTTTTATTTTTTCTTTTCTTTTAGTTTTTTAATATTTATTTTTGAGAGAGTGTGTTTGAGTGTGTATGTGTGCACAAGCAGGGGAAGGGCAAAGAGAGGGACAGAGGATCTGAAGCAGGCTCTGTGATGACAACAGAGAGCCGGATGCGGGGCTCGAACTTACGAACCAAGAGATCATAACCTGAGCCGAAGTCCAGTGCTTAAAAGACTGAGCCACCTAGGCACACCTATTTTAAGTAGGCACTATGCCCAATGTGGGGCTTAAACTGATAACCCTGAGACCAAGAGTCAAATGCTCTAGGAATTGAGGCAGCCAGGCACCCCTAACTGATATTTATTTTATTTATTGAGCTAACTTTATGCTGCTGTCATAGAAAGCACAAAGATAAATTACCATACAGACTGTGTCCTTGAGATACTTGCAGACTGGATAAAGTATGATGGTCTTGCAGATACAGTATGAATGTAAGTATTTTAATACAAAGTATAATACATTAAGACACTGTTAGGTGCCATGAACCATTTTCCCAGGGATAAAATCTACTAGGGGTTGAAAGATAGGAACAGAAGGCAAGATGAACTATGATTATAGCCATTAAAACATATAAAACACTATGCAAGGCCAGAAGTGGGAGAAACCATTCCACTGGGCAGTACTGAATAAGTATTCAAGGCTAGTTGGCTACCACGGAGAAAACACTAGACTGAGAATCTAACACACAGGTGCAAGCCCATGCTTTATTACTGAACATCATAAGCTAAAGCAGCAACACAAGCAATGATGTCTCAGAGGGATCTGAAAATAGTTACAGAAAATGGAAAGTATTGGGGGTGCCAAGGTGATTCAGACAGTTAAGTGTCTAACTCTTGGTTTCAGCCCAGGTCATGATTTCAGTTTTGTGAGTTCAAGCCCCACATTGGGCTCTGGGCTGACAGTGTGGAGCCTGCTTGGGATTCTCTGTCTCCCCCTCTCTCTGCCCCTCCCTAACTCATGTTCTCTCTCTCTAAAAAACAAATAAAAAACAAAAACAGAAAAGAACCCATAAGAAAAAAAGAAAATGTAAGTATTCTGAAGTAAGGTAAGAGATGAGTGGAAATGCAGGCAGAGGTTTTAACCTAGAGCCCATGGTCCTTCATTTTAAGGTAAGCAGGGTGCTGACATAAGAATCTGCTTCTTGGAGAAAGAACTCTTCCATGGAAGCATGGAAGATGACCTGAAGTTGGGAAGGTCTGGTAGGAGGACTCTTGGAGCAGCACAGTAAACCAAATAAGGCTCTAAATGCCTCTGATAATAGAGGAAGAAAGGAGAAGCATGAAATTGGAGACATGTTTTAGAAATAGAATTGACAGCACTTAGCAACAAATATGAAGTGGGGAGCAAAATGACTCCCAAGGTGCTAGGTTGATCACAGGTTGCTGGGACAGCAGGTCAGTAGAGGGAGTCCCTGACATATATACAAAGCAGGTGACCCTTTCCTCAGGAAAACACCCTCTCCAGCTTTCTACCACAACCCTCTAGTCCTGCTGCCTTGCCTAGGAGGCTGCCATGGAACTAGCCTTATCTACTCTAAACTCACAGGAAGAGAACACACCAACCTTTGCTAGATGGAAGAAACAATATGACCTGCCCTAAAGTAGAGATAGCTTAGCAGGTCAAGAGTTTAAAATAAGACACTGAGGGCGCCTGGGTGGCTTAGTCGGTTAAGCGTCCGACTTTCGCTTAGGTCATGATCTCGCGGTTCGTGGGTTCGAGCCCCGCGTCAGGCTCTGTGCTGGCTGCCGGCTCGGAGCCTGGAGCCTGTTTCAGAGTCTGTGTCTTCCTTTCTCTCTGACCCTCCCCTGCTCGCGCTGTCTCTCTCTCTCTCTCTCTCCTAGAAATAAATAAAAACATTAAAAAAAAATTTTAAATAAGACACTGATTTTCTATGTTAAGAAGACATCTGGGAAAGTCAATCTAGAAAATGTGGGGTTTGGTGGAGGTGGAAGAAAAGCAGCCCTTTTTTTCAGTCTTATTGATACACTCCAGTAGTAATATTTGTTATTTTTTCAGTTGATAGGTGTGACTTCAGATTTTAATCTAGTGGTACTAATGTTAAAACCAATATCCTTGTTGATTTTAGCATCCATATGCACATAGTTTTGCTTTACAAGGATTACAAGGATAAAATAAGCCACAGGTGTCCAAATGTTTCAGAGACACTTACTGTTGAAAGCTCCAGCAGCATGAAGGCCAAGATCAAACAGCTGTGAAGGAAGGAATCGCGAGGAATGAGCAAGAGGCTCAGATCCCACAGAAGGCTCCTGGAACGTGAGGCTGGTGCCTGGGATCCCAAAGGCTGGCTGGCATTCTTGGGTAAATTCAACAGTACTTGAAGAACCAGGACTTAGCAAGTTGTTCAGAAATGAGAATTCTTTCTCAAAATCATCTTCCAGTGAATCAACAGGTAAATCTTTTGCAACTGTTGAATGAAAATAAAAACAGAATGGCTCTTTTTGAGGAAATGAGAGTAGGGTGTAGGGCAAATCAAATTTGGTTCACTGTTCTTATACATTACAATGATTTTCTAACATAATTTTTAATGACCAATTAAACTGATTGGAAGTTCATATGAAATTATTTCTAATTGGGTAGGCTATAGATCAAAATGAAGATCAAAAATCACAATGAAGATATAATAGTTAAGAGTATCTATGTGTGAAATAATGAAGCAGCCACTATGTAAGGCAAAAACTACAGGGGATGCAAGAAGTAGAAACAAATTAATGATAATAGAATTTAATATACCACTCTCAGTAAAAAACAATAGACTTTAATATATCACTGTCAATAAAAAATATGCCCAAAAGGCAAAAGTAAAGATACAAAAGATCTAAACCATAATTAATAAGATAGTTATTTTGAATATATATAAAATTAATAGAAAACACACTTGAGCTGCCTGGTTGGCTCAGTCAGTGGAGCATGTAACTCCTGATCTCAGGGTTGTGGGTTTGATCCCTACATTGGGTGTGCAGATTACTTAAAATCTTTAAAAAAAAAAGATAAAGAAATTATATTTTCTTCCTACACACTGAAAATTCACAAAAATTAATTATACTAAAGCACACACATAAAAATCAATGAGTTTCTTAAAGCAGAAATACTACAAACAACATGCAAGAAAGTGAAGTAATTTAAAAAATGAAACTAAAAACTAACAAGTTCTTCTACTTGTAAATTTTAATACAGTCTATTAAACAACTGTTGGTTGAAAGGGGATTGGAATTTCTGAAAAATAATAATAAAAAAGACATTTCAGTTATAATCCATGGATACTTAAATAGCAGTTAACAGAGAAAAAATAATCCTGAACACCTTTACTGATAAAAATGAAAAAGGCTTCCCATATGATACAGTGAGGAAGTCGATGGAGAGGCATACTAGTTTTTAAATATCTGGTGGAAAATGTTTAAAAAATAATCATTAAAGTCTCTAGAAATTGTTCCAAGGACATACATCAAATGAGGAAACACTTAAGAAAATCTATTAAAATTCAGACTATGGTATCTGAACTAAGAACGGAATGCATTCCCTTCCCAATTTAGCAAGATGGAAATTCCACTCTTGCCCTGTGTAGCCAAGAACATAGGGCTCCTGCTCCCACAAGTCTCAGTCAAGAGTTATGTTCCCATGAGGGGCAGGGTATCAGCTTTTCATATCGTGTCCTCAGTTACCTATTGGCTAAGTCAGGGCAGTACAGTCAAGAGGTGCCAGTTCCCATTTCCACCCAGATAACAAGATCCCAGTCATAAGATGGAGACTATGATTTGGGTGTGGGATGCTGAGAATACAAGGGCTCTGGGTTATGCGACCCTGCTCATAATGTGATAGTTTCATTCAGGAAAAGCAAGGCCAAAAAGAATTGAGACTACCATCACCCTCCTCACTTAGCACCCAGCTCCCAGAGCAAGGATCTCGTTCAGAAACATGTCACTGAGAGGTCACCCGGGTGGCTCAGTCGGTTAAGTGTCTGACTTTGGCTCAGGTCATGATCTCACAGTTCATGGGTTCGAGCCCCTCATCGGGCTCTGTGCTGACAGCTAGCTCAGAGCCTGGAGACTTGGTTCAGATTCTGTGTCTCCCTCTCTCTCTGACCCTCCCCTGCTCATGCTGTCTGTCTCTCTAAGTAAGTAAGTAAATAAATAAATAAATGTCATTGTTTCCATCATCAGATAAATGTAGGCCAACTAGTTTGCCTGAAAGAATCAGGGAAGAAGCCTGTGGGGACAAGCCTGCCTAGGTAGGGTAAGAACAAATCTCAGTGACTCTGGGAAATATCCTCTCACAGGAGTCCAAATTTTATTGGTTTTGTTTGCAGAAAAATTTATGATCCAGAGCATTCTTAAAAATAATAAAGCAATCAGATGGAAATTAGTGGTGCTTAACAGCTGGGTGTGATCAGGGAAAAACACTGTCAAAGAGAACCCTTACCAAAACAAACTGTCATCCCAGGGTGACTGTAGGTAAAGCTAATTCTGTATCCTTGTTCCACTGTTGGGGACTGAGGGGCTGGGGAGGGGTGGGGAATAGACTCCACCAAAATAATCCAGCCTGTCACTAAACAAATAAAGCAAGCAAATAATAACAACAAGCCCCAAAGAAGAAGACAAGTAGCCAAAGTTGCTAAAATATATTATCTAAAATGTCCAGTTTCCAACAAAAAACAAGGTAGGCCAAAACAAATGAACAATAAACAGGAAAAGTAGGACCATACGATCGCAAGAAGGCAGGCAACACAAGCTGCCTGTGAGAGCAAACCGAATGTCATATTAACAGGCAAAACCTTTAAAGTAACTCTTATAAATATATTCAAAGAACTAAAAGATAGTATGATTAAAGTAAAGGAAGTATGTTGATAGATATGGTAATTAACTAGATGGAGAGAATCCTCTCACAAGGTATATATTATATCAGCACACTTCAAATACCTTAACAATTTTATTTATCAATTTTACCTCAGTAAAACTGAAAATTTTGTTAAAGCAATCTTTAAAAAGCAAAGAAAGGTGTTGTGACAATACTGTATCAAATAAAGAATATCAATAAAGAGTCAGAAATTACAAAAGAGAACCAAATGGAAATTCTGAAATTGAAAACTACAATAACTAGGGCATCTGAGCGGCTCAGTTGGTTAAGCGTCTGACTCTTGATTTAATCTCAGGTCATGATCTCACGGTTCATGGAATCGAGCCCCATGTCAGGCTCTGCATGGCCAGTGTGGACCCTGCTTGGGATTCTCTTTCATTTCTTCCTCTTCCCTGCTTGTGTGTGAATGCTCTCTCTTTCTATTTCTCAAAATAAATAAACTTAAAAACATTTCTTTAAAAAGTACAATAACTGAGGGGTGCCTGGGTGGCTCAGATGGTTGGGCATCCGACTTCGGCTCAGGTCATGATTTCACAGTTTGTGAGTTCAAGCCCCATGTCAGGCTCTGTGCTGCAGCCTGCTTCTGATTCTATGTCTCCCTCTCTGCCTCTCCCCAACTCACGGTGTGTCTGCCTGTATCTCTAAAATATATAAATCTTAAAAATTTTTTTAAAGTACAATAACTAAAATGAAAAATTCACTCTCAAGGATCACCAGTAGATCTGAACTAGCATAAGAAAGAATTAGCTAACTTTAATATAGACTGACAGAGATTATGCAACCCAAAGAACTGAGAGAAGAAAAAAGACTGAAGAAAAATGCAGAGTATCTAAGTGAAATGGTGGGCCAGTATCAGAAGTACCAGTATACACACAATAAGAGTTTCAAAAGGATGGGGGAGGGCAGAATTTGAAGAAATAATGGATAAAATGTCCCAAATTTGTTGAAAACATCAATGTACTCATCCAACAAGCTTAATAAAACCCAACTAGAATCAATTAGAATCAATATAAAGAGATCTGTATCTAGATACGTCATAGGCAAACCACTGAAAGTGAACAATACGGAAAACATCTCCACACTCACAGACTAAAAGGAACAATATTGTTCAGATAGCAATTAACTCCAAACTGATGTATGAATCCAACATGATGACTGTAAAATTTATATGGAAATGCAAAGAAGTTATAATAGCCAAAACAATTTTGAAAAAAGAACCATGCTGTAGGACTTATACTACCTAATTTCAAAATTTACTATAAAGCCACAGTAATCAAAACAGTGGCCAGTGGTACTAGACAAGGTTAGGTATACAGATCAGTGGAACAGAAACTAGAATCCAGAAACACACCCTTAAGTTTTTTTTGGTCACTTGATTTTAACAAAAATGCCAAGAGAATTCAGTGGAGAAAAGGAATGTCTTTTCAATAAATTGTACTGGTACAAGTAGATATACATATGCAATAAACAGAAACAAAAATAAAACTTACCTACCTTATACTATACACAATTAACTCAAAATGATTATAGTCCTATAGGTAAGAGCTAAATTTATAAAACTTCAAGAATACATATGAGAAAATCTTTGAATCTTGGGTAGGGAGATCTAGATGTGATACCAAGCGAACAACACATAGAAGAAAAAAGTGTTGTTGAACTTCAAAAAATTTTAAAAATTTTGTGTTTCAAGATGCAAAATTAAGAAAATAAGATAACTAGAATATCTACAAGTCGTATGTCTGACAAAGAACTTGTATGAAGAATAAAGAAATCTTGCAATTATAAGGTAAATAACCCAATTAAAAATAGGCAATAGATCTTATAGATTTATCAATAAAGATATATGAATGGCCAATAAACACAAGAAAATATACTCAACATCATAAATCACTGGAGAAATGCAAATTAAAGCCACAAATTAAAAGCACTAGAATGTATATGGTTAACAAGACAATACCAAATGTTGCCAAAGAGTGGAGAAACTAGACCTCCTCATAATTTGCTAGTCGGAATGAAATAGTAGTAGAGCCATTTTGAAAAACCATCTGGCAGATCCTCAAAAAGATAAAGTTAAATTTGCTGCATAACATAGCAGTTCCACTTCTAGGAATCTAATGAATAAAAATTCAACAACCATTCCTAATAAAACTTAAGAAATTAGGAATATATGGATACTTCCTTTTTTTAAGTTTATTTATTAATTTTGAGAGAGAGAGAGAGAGAAAGGGAGGGGCAGAGAGAGAGGGAGAGAGAGAGAGAATCCCAAGCAGGCTCTGTGCTGTCAGAACAATGCCCAACATGGGGCCCAATCTCATGAACTATGATCTAAGCCAAAATCAAGAGTCGGAGGCTTAACAGACTGAGCCAGCCATGCACCCAGTGGATACTTCTTTAATGCCACAAAATTGATACTTGGTTTCAAAAGCCAGCATCTTAATTAATTCAGAAACATTCAACTGGTTTTGGAGGTAGAAACAAATGCAATTAAATAAAAGAAATCAATTACAGTAACATGAACTGGTGAAGAAAAAACAGGATTCTATTTGTAGATGACATGATAGTGTATCTGGAAAACCCTAGAAAATGAATGATGAAACAAACTCTAATTATAAAAAAATTCAACAAGGTAGCAACATATAATACTAACATGCAAAAAAATCAATAGCATTTTGGGGCACTGGGCAGCTCAGTCAGTTAAGCTCTAACTCTTGATTTCTGCTTAGGTCACACTTGTGAGATAGAGGCCCATGTTGGGCTTCATGCTGAGTGTGGAGCCTGCTTAAGATTCTCTCATCTCTCCCTCTGTCCCTCCCCAGCTTCTGGTCTCTCAGAATCAAAATAAATAAATAAATAAATAGAGAGATAGATAGATATCAGAGGTTAAAAAAAAATAGCATTTATATACACAAACTAATAACCAGAAAAGGGGCACCTGGCTGGCTCAGTTGGTAGAGCATGTGACTCTTGATCTCAAGGTCATAAGTTCAAGCCCCACATTGGGCATAAAGATTACTTAAGATATATCTATCTATATAATATATATATTATATATATCTAATAGATTAGATATATACCTTTATATATAATATATATTATATATAAAACTTATACATAATATATAATTACATATATTTATATATTATATAATTTATATATTTATATAAATTTTATATATAAAATATATACCATATATAAATTATATATTATATATAAATTTATATAAATTTATAATATATCATGTATTTTGTATATATAAATTTATATAAAATTATTAAAAATATATCATATATATTTTATATATATATAAATTTATATATATATTTAAAAAGTAACGGAAAAGAAAACCTCAGTTACAATGACGACAAACAAGATAAAATACTGAGAAATAACAAAACTGTTCAAAACCTATATTAAAAAAATCCTGTATATAAAAGATCTACAAGAAAATTTTAAATAGAAAAATATCCCTTGTTTCTGGTTAGGATGTCTCAGCACCATCAAGCTGTTTTTCACATTTAATATAAACACAATAAAAGGAATAATGAGTTTTATGGAGCTGGACAATATAAAATTTATATTGAAAAATAAACATGCAAGAATAGCTAAGATAATAATGAAAAGGACACTAGCCCTACCAGATATAAAAACACAAAAGAAAATTTCTATAATTAAAATCATATGGCATTGGTATATGCACATATCAATGAAATATAAAGGAAGCTCCAGAACAAACCCAAATACATATAGAAACCTAGTATATGACTGGAAGCTATCTCAAATTACTGTGGCAAAGATGGCATTAAAAAAAAGATATAAAAGGATGACTACTTACAAAAGATAATATTTGATCTACTGCTAATACCATATGGCTGCATAAACTCCAAATGAATTGGATTTCTAAATGTGGGGGTGCCTGGATGGCTCAGTCAGTTAAGTGTCTGATTTTTGATTTTGATTCAGGTCATGATCTCAACGTTCGTGAGATCAAGCCGAGTCTGGCTCTGTGCTGACAGTGCACAGCCTGCTTGGGATTCTCTTTCCCTCTCTCTCTGTCCCTTCCCCCAACTCATGCGTGCTCTCTCTCTCTCTTTCAAAATAGATACTAACAAAATAAATAAATGTAAAAAATAAAAGTACACAAATACCAGAAGACAGCATCAATGAATTTTTCTAACCGGAGTTTTCTATATGACAAAAATCAAGATCCAATAAAAGAAAAGATTAATACATTTGACTACATAAAATTATTTTTAAAAATTTACCTGGCAAGAAACAAATGAAAAATCAAAAGACAAATGACAAAGTGGGAGAAAATATTTGCAAAATAACTGTGTGGGGAAGATATTCAAGTTAGTTTCTACTGAGTATCTAAACTTGCTGGATAGGGGAGGTACACTAGACAGTATGACTCACAGTTACACAGATACATCTGGACAAGGGCCCAAACATACAGAACAAATAATGACTTCAATTCCATTGTGATGTGTTACAAAGTAGAAGTGCAGGGTTGCATCCCTATATAGAGACCTATACAGTTTTAATGTTGAGGAATTAAGTATTAAATTAAAAGTAAAGAATTTAAAAAAAAATTTTTAAAAAGTAAAGAATTTTAAATAATAAATTATATATATGATGAAATTATAATTTCTTACCATTTTCATAGTTAGAAACCTGAGGTGTTCCAAATTCTCTTATTTGAAAATGCTTTTCCTTGTGATCTTTGGCTGCTGAAACAAAATCACATAAAAGGCATGCTTATTACTGTATTTTATAATTTACTGTATTTACTGTATTTTGTAGTTATTGGCTTAAGTGTTCAATTGGCCAAATCAGTTTATAATTTATATAAAAGGGAGATGTAAAAATTTAAAGAACCATATATAAAAATTACACTTATATGTGTTTATACATGTATATGTGTTGGTACTATGTGTATATATTAAGCACATACACACACACAGATGGTCCCCTACTGACAATGGTTTAACTTACCATTTTTTGACTTTATGATGCAAAAGAGATACACATTCAATAGAAACTGTACTTCTAATTCTGAATTTACTATTTTCCCAGACTAGTGATATGTAATACAATATTCTCTTGTGATTCAAGGCAGCAGCAACAAGCCACAGCTCCCAGTCAGCCATGTGATCACAGGGTAAACAACTGATACATTTACAAACTTCTGTACCCATAAAACCATTCTGTTTTCAGTTTCAGTACAGTATTCAATAAATTACATGAGATATTCAATACTTTATTATAAAATAGGCTTTGTGTTAGATCATTCTGCCCACCTGTAGGCTAATGTAAGTGTTCTTAGTACATTTAAGGTAGGCCAGGATGAGTTATGATGTTCAGTATGTTCGATGTATTAAATGCATTTTGATTTACATTTTTTTGGTATATAGGGGAACATATTTTTATTTTTAAAAATGTTTTTTAAATTCCAGTATAGTTAACGTACAGTGCTATATTAGTTTCAGTGTTCAACTTACAGTATTTTCTTTTTTTTAATTTTTTAAATTTTTATTTTTTTCAAATAGTTTATTGTCAATTTGGTTTCCATATAACACCCAGTGCTCATCCCCACAAGTGCCCTCCTCCATGTCCATCTCCCTCCTCCCCCCCTACACCCATCAGTCTTCAGTTTGTTCTCATCATTCAAGAGTCTCTCATGGTTTGCCTCTCTCCCTCTCCCCCACCACTTCCCCCCTTCTTCTCCCCCATGGTCCTTCGTTAAGTTCCTCCGAATCCTCCTATACGTGCAAACATATGATATTTGTCCTTCTCTGCCTGACTTACTTCACTCAGCATAACACCCTCAAGGTCCATCCATGTTGCTACACATGGCCAGATTTCATTCTTTCTCATTGCCACGTAGTATTCCATGGTATAGATAAACCACATCTTCTTGATCCATTCGTCCGTGGATGGACACTTAGGCTCTTTCCATGTTTTGGCTATTGTTGAGAGTGCTGCTATGAACACTGGGGTACATGTATGTGCTCCTATGCCTCAGCATTCCTATATTCCTTGGGTAAATTCCTAGCAGTGCTATTGCTGGGTCATAGGGGAGTTCTATTGTTAATTTTTTGAGGAGCCTCCACACTGTTTCCAGAGGGGCTGCACCAGTTTACATTCCCACCAACAGTGTAGGAGGGTGCCCGTTTCTCCACATCCTCGCCAGCATCTAAGAGTTCTCTGATTTGCTCATTTTAGCCACTCTGACTGGTGTGAGGTGGTATCTCAGTGTGGTTTTGATTTTTATTTCCCTGATGAAGAGGGATGCTGAGCATGGGTCTGCTGGCCATCTGGATGTCCTCTTTGGAGAAGTGTCTGTTCATATCTTCTGCCCATTTCTTTACTGGGTTGTTTTTCAGGTGTGGAGTTTGGTGAGTTCCTTACAGATTTNGTTTGGTGGTTTCCTTATAGATTGTGGATATTAACCCTTTATCTGATATGTCATTTGCAACTATCTTTTCCCATTCCGTTGGTGGCCTATTAGTTTTGTGGATTGTTTCCTTTGCCGTGCAGAAGCTTTTAATCTTGATGAGGTCCCAGTAGTTTATTTTTGCTCTTGATTCCCTTGCCTTTGGGGATGTGTCAAGTAAGAAGTTGCTGCGGTGGAGGTCAAGGAGGTTGTTTCCTGCTTTCTCCTCTAGGGTTTTGATGGTTTCTTGTCTCACGTTCAGGTCCTTTACCCATTTTGAGTTTATTTTTGTGTATGGTGTGAGAAAATGAGCTAGTTTCATTCTTCTGCATGTTGCTGTCCAGTTCTCCCAACACCATCTATTAAAGAGGCTGTCTTTTTTCCATTGGATATTCTTTCCTGCTTTGTCAAAGATTAGTTGGCTGTATACCTTTGGGTCCACTTCTGAGTTCTCAGTTCTATTCCATTGGTCTATGTGTCTGTTTTTGTGCCAATACCATACTGTCTTGATGATGACAGCTTTGTAGTAGAGGCTAAAGTCTGGGATGGTGATACCTCTCATTTTGGTTTTATTTTTCAGTATTACTTTGGCTATTCGGGGTCTTTTGTGGTTCCATACAAATTTTTGGATAGTTTGTTCTAGTTTTGAGAAGTATGCTGGTGCAATTTTGATTGGAATTGCATTGAATGTGCAGATTGCTTTGGGTAGTAATGACATCTTAACTATATTTATTCTTCCTATCCATGAGCATGGAATGTTTTTCCATTTCTTTGTGTCTTCTTCAATTTCCTTCATAAGTTTTCTATAGTTTTCATCATACAGATCTCTTATATCCTTGGTTAGGTTTATTTCTAGGTATTTTATGGTTTTTTGTGCAAATGTGAATGGGATCAGTTTCTTGATTTCTCTTTCTGTTGCTTCATTATTGGTGTATAAAAATGGGACCAATTTCTGTACATTGATTTTGTACCCTGCAACTTGGCTGAATTCTTGGATCAGTTCTAGTAGGCTTCTGGTGGAGTCTGTCAGGTTTTCTCTGTAGAGTATCGTGTCGTCTGCGAAAAGTGAAAGTTTGACTTCTTCTTTGCCACTTCTGATGCCTTTGATTTCCTTTTGTGGTCTGATGGCTGATGCTAGGACTTCTAGCACTGTGTTAAACAACAGTGGTGAGAGTGGACATCTCTGTCGTGTTCCTGATCTCAGGAAAAAAGCTCTCAATTTTTCCCCATTGAGGTTGATGGTAGCTGAAGGCTTCTCATAGATGGCTTTTATGATGTTTAAGTAGGTTCCTTCTATCCCGACTTTCTCGAGAGTCTTTATTAAGAAGGGATGCTGTATTTTGTCAAATGCTTTTTCTGCATCTATTGACAGGATCATATGGTTTTTATCTTTTCTTTTGTTGATGTGATGTATCACATTGATTGATTTGCGAATGTTGAACCAGCCCTGTAACCCAGGAATGAATCTCACTTGATCTTGGTGGATAATTCTTTTTATGTGCTGTTGGATTTGATTCGCACAACTTACAGTATTTTCAACTTATGATGGGTTTATCAGGATGTAACCACATCTGAAGTTAAGAAAGAACTATAATACAATAGTACAACTTACATATATGTATTGTATATATATAGTATGTATATATACATATTATATGTATTGTGTATATATAGTATGTATATATACATATTATATGTATTGTGTATATATAGTATGTATATATACATATTATATGTATACATATATATACACATACACATAACTTTTTTTTTTTTAATTTATTTCTAGGAGAGAGAGAGAGAGAGAGACAGCGTGAGCAGGGGAGGGTCAGAGAGAGAGGGAGTCACAGATTGAAACAGGCTCCAGGCTCTGAGCTGGCAGTCAGCACAGAGCCCGACGCGGGGCTCGAACCCACGAACTGCGAGATGGTGACCTAAGCGAAAGTCGGACGCTTAACCGACTAAGCCACCCAGGCACCCCACACATAACTTTTTAATACCCACAGGTATTCAGGTCTCATGTTATATCTATGTTCCCCTGAAAGTTAAAAGTTTTCACATTCCATGTAAATTGGTATAGCCATTATGGAAAACAGTATGGATGTTCTCACCCAAATTAAAATTAGAACCATCAAATGATCCAGGAATGCCACTTCTGGCTATTTATCCAAAAACAAACAAACAAACAAACAACTACTTTGAAGAGATATACACACCCCATGTTCATTGTAGCATTATTTACAATAGCCAAGATATGGAAACAACCTAAGTGTCCATCAATGGATGAATGGGCAAAGAAAATGTGGTATATATATATATTGTGTGTATATATATATATGTATATATACACAATGAAGTTTTAATCAGCCATTAAAAAAAAAAAAAAAAGAATGAGATCTTGCCATTTGCAACAACATGTATGGACCTTAAGGGAATTATACTAAGTGAAATATGACAGAGAAAACAAATTCTGTATGATCTTACTCATTTGTGAAATTTAAAAAAGAAACAGGGGCACCTGGGTGGTTCAGCTGGTTAAGCCTTTGGCTCAGGTCATGATCTCACAGTCTGTGAGTTCAAACCCTGCATCCGGCTCTGTGTTGACAGCTTAGAATCTGAAGCCTGCTTTGAATTCTGTGTCTTCCTCTCTACCCTTCCCCCACTCACGCTCTGTCTTTTTCTCTCTCATAAATGAACATTTAAAAATTTTTAGTTAAAAAAAGACAAACAAAAACCAAGCCCACAGACCAGATTTGGTGATTGCCAGAGGCAGGGGACAGGGGGTGGGGAGTAGGCAAAATAGGTGACTAAAGGGGGAGGGGCTGGGTGGTTCAGTAGGTTAAACGTCTGGGGACTCTTGACTTTGGTTCAGGATATGTCATGTTCTTGTGAGATTGAGCCCTGCTTCAAGCTCTGCACTAACAGCACACAGCCTGCTTGGGATTCTTTTTCTCCCCCCTCTCTGCCTCTCTCCATTCATGCTTGTGCGCACTCGCGCGCTCTCTCTCTCAAAATAAGTAAACACTTAAAAATAAATAAATAATAGGGATATAATGTCTCACATGGTGACTAGTTAATAATACTGTATTGTATGTTTGAAGTTGCTGAATGAATAAATCTTAAAATATCACAAGAAAAATTTTTTTGTAACTATGTATGGTAATATGTTATCTAGACTTATTGTGGTGATCATTTCACAATATATGCAAATATTAAATCATGCTGTGAATCTGAAACTAGTGAATCATTCATATATCAATTAATATAAAAGTTTTCACATTCAACAGCTTATCC